GAAAATAGGGGCTTTTAAGCTGAATGCTAAAGAAAAATTCTCAGAATACCATGGAAGGAAAAACAGAAATATTGATGTTCTTAAAGATCTAAACATCAAGGAAGACTGGTTAATAAACAGCACCTTGTTTTGGAAGCTAGAATATTTTGGCCACATCAAGCACCACAGCAGAATGAAAAACAAAAAAAGCAGAAGATAGGCCTGTGGCCTACATCTGAAAACCACTGGCAGGGAAAAGAAAAAGAAGAAGAGTGTCTTGTTTGTTTAAAAGTAAATAATTTATACATCAAGTGAAGCCAAAGTAGCATAGGGGTTAGTGTGTTTGCTTGCTGAGTCAGTGGTCCAGATTCAATCGACAGAAGTGGTTGGTTTCTTCTATTATGGCTTTGGAGCTGACTCTCATTTAAACAAAAACACTAGTGACAAAAAAATTCCTATAAATGTCTGAATATTATCACATGTGGGTTCCAGGGCCCATCATTTTGTGTGTGGGTGGGTGTGTGTGCATGAGTGTGTGTGTGTGTGTGTGTGTGGGGGGGGGGGGGGTAGGATATATAAACAGGACCCTAAGCTACACCAGGCTAGTGTAGCAGTTACTTTGGTGGCTGGATCAATGAATTACAATTTCTTTTGAGATTAAATGGGTAATCTGGAATTTGCCGCATTAGATTGGTATAATTCTTTAGTTCACAGGGGTGAGTCAAACCTTCTGGTAGCAGCCCCGGTGGGACTCTTCACAAGACCTGCCAACACTGGACTTGGCCCAGGAGTACTGATTATTCTGTAACCGTTTTGTGGTGCCCTGAATATAACTGTGCTATACACTTTATCAAATTAAGAAACTTTTATGCAGTAAATCCATGTCATTGGAGGTAAGGAAAAGAATTCTTGCATGCTATATAGAGTATGTTTTAACATACAGCTGTGAATCCTGGACAATTATTAAACAAGCTGAACTATATCTTGAGGCCTCGGAGATGTGGTTTTACAAAAGAATCTTTGCATAACTAAGAAGAGCAACCCAGATGTTTTGAGAGAGGTGAGTGCTCCGAGACAACTTATCACAAACATCAGAAAGATACAGTCATCATTTTTGGGTTATGTTATGAAAAGAGGGAAAATGGAACAAGTTGTGACCACTGGAAAGATCTGTGGAAAGAGAGACAGAGGAAGACACAGTGAGAAGATTCTTGATGGTCTTCTGTCATGGCATGGAGGGGTGTCAACATACGAACTGATACATGCAACTGCAGATTGCAGATTGAGAGGAGGCAAAATCGCCCACGCTAGTCAGCAAGGCACTTGATGATGATGATGATGGCACAGATATAAGATTGAACAAGGTTCTGTCAATCTGTTTGATTATCTTCCTTGCGATGTTAATCCTTCAGACTGAAATCTAGGAGGGGAAAATTTATTCTAAGTTCCACTAAAGAAGTGGTTCTCAACCTTCCTAATGCGGGGACCCTTTAATTCAATTCCTTAAGTTGTGGAGACCACCATCCATACAATTTTTTTCGTTGCTACTTCATAACTTCAATGAATATGTGTTTTCCGATAGTCTTAGGCGTCCCCTGTGAGAGAGAAAAAAAAATGGGTCGGGACACCCAGGTTGAGAACCGCTGCACTATAGGATAGCTGTCCGTGGGATGGGAATATGAGAATAAAACCGTTTAAACATTTTTAAAAAAATCCTAGAAACCCTGTCCAACCGTAGAACAGTTTTAAATATTTGGCACCCCTACGATTACAAAGTAACCTGCAGTCCAGTGTTTGGGTTTTCTTCTGTCGTTAATGATTTTTTCAAAAGTTACCGGTAAATTTCTAACAGTAACATCAAAAGTCAACGTTCGCTTTTGTCGGCATGGGTTACTTCCCATATTTAGTCTCAATCCCAATATCAGGGTGGTAATTTAAGTAATTCCTGTGTTCTCGGCGTAGTAAATAGAAAATAATCGTTTTGTAAATGTCAGTAACAGTAGGCTTAAAGAATTAATGTTTTCTGAAGTTAGAGACAAGCCATAAATCACTATCTACGTTCTTTTTTATTGCTTACTTTCTGGAAGAGATAAAGACCTTGACCTTAGAAAACGAAAATAGAAAGGTCAAACTTGGTGGATATGACTTCAGTTTTCTTCCCGTAGAATGATTTCAAATTTAAATAATGATCGTTAACTTGTTTATTATTAACACATGAAAAAGTCTTACTCTATTTCTTTATAGAAGTAAGTATATTGAAACATGTACTGGCACAACTAGGGATATAGATATAATCTATAATATTGTAATTGGGGTATTGACCTTTTGATGTTGTCACAATCACAACAGACTACGTGACTGTTGGCTCGTTTACTAGTTACATTATAAATTATCAAAAAAAGTCTCTTGCTGGGGGAGCATCAGTTTACACGGAAATAACGTAAAAATAATTAACAAATGTTACTGTTTAATCATAGAAGCTGAGAAAGGAAGTAGAGATTAGAAGACATACTAGCTGGGACCGACACAAAGAAAAAACAAAGGTGGTCTCAGACGCCTTACACTACATTTCCTATGGGGAAGGAGCACAATAGGTCTAAGCCTTGCCTAAGTGCGTAATAGTAATGTGACGAATAGCAAATAAAATATAATAAGAAGAAGAAACGAAAACATGTACAGAGAGTTTCTCTGCAGGGTGAGGAGAGGATGTAATACTACCCCTTCCTGCACATACAAAATTTGGACGAGGCCCACAGAATGCCTCTGTGCTCCCCCACCCAAAGTCATACGCCTGTGAATACTAGACAGTGTGAAAACTATAATAGTATAGTGCACCCACCTGATTTTTAAACTGCCAACTCAAGATTACAACAAGGCCTTTTTGAAAGAACAAGTGAACTTCAGAACATACCAATAAAATAAACACTTCTTATAAAATCAAAATAACAGCATATGGTGCCTGACTATCAAAGATATAAAACTAGTAAGTTGCCAAAAGTATAAATCATTATCTAATTCAGTTGTTGGTACCTCAGAATTCAAACATAATCCATCCCAAGCCAGCATTCACATTTCAAATCATTCAAATTTCCAGGCAATTGTTCCCAATTTAAAATAATATAAACTAAATTAATTTGTTCCAGGGTCCAGCGAACTCAAATTTTAAAATGCATTTTTCATAATCTTCTTCGGATTCACAGGCTGTAAACTTCGTGGAAAGTTCTGGTTGTTCGTCCACTTTCGGACTTTAGTCTTATAATAATGCATGCACATCCATTTTACAGATTTTGCTTTTTTATATGTAGACTTTTGCCTCTCAGGAAGATGCAGACTTTGAAGGATGCCCCCAATTAGTCAACTCCTATGACATGCTTGTTGGACTGGCAATGTGTCTATTCTTGTTTTCTCCACAATGGGGCCCTAAAACCCACACAGGGAGTATTTTCTTAAAGACAGTACACTGTAAATACGGCACAGGGAGATTGTAGGGGGATCTGCAACACTGATGGGGAAAATCTGACAGATTTTTAATCAGGTTGCAGCTGGTACTACTAAGCATATCAACTCTTCATTGGCTACTGAAGACGGGGACAGAGCACATGTGGGAATGTACTGAGTGCAGTGATGTCAATTGTCGATTCATTCTATATGTGTGTATATATATATATATATATATATATATATATATATATATATATATATATATATATATATATATATAAAATGAGTAAAAATGGCCTACGCTTATATTATATAAGAACAATGAGAACCACCAAGGACAAATTAAAAAGTGTGATGGAAATATCTTGGGAAAAGAAACAAAACTATCCCATAAAGAGAGTTGATTATCCACATCAGAAGCACACAGTCTAAATTCTTTGGGCATGTCATGAGAAGGATAAAGACTGAGTGCAAAGTGATGTTGGGAAAGTTGGAGGGGAAGAGAGACAGAGGGACACCAAGAGTGATGTTTTACAGTTTAGCATGAGGGTATACAGCAGTGGCTCTCAACCTTCCTAGTGCTGTGACCCTTTAAAACAGTTCCTTGTGTTGTGGTGACCCTTTAATACAGTTCCTCATGTTGTAACGACCCCCCAAAACACAATTACTTTCATTGCTACTTCATAACATCAGTAAATATGTGTTTTGCCATGGTCTTTGGCGATCTCTGTGAAAGGGTCGATTGACCAAAAAAGGGTCATGACTGATAGGTTAAGAACCGCTGGCATACAGAAATATATGTATCAGATATTGACAGTACAAAAGACAAAAGTCCGTAGACAAACATAATTATCAATGCCACATTATGAAGAAGAAGACCTACACTTCACATCTTCTTAGTGTTGGCAGTAGTATTAACATCTTTATCTTCTTCTTCAGCATTCCGAGCCCTTGAGGTTCATTACTGCTGATATCACCCGCCTCCATTCATCTCTCTGGTTGGCCTTCTCTTTCCAGTTGGTGACCCCAAGAGTTTGCAGGTCTGTCTGGACATTATCTCTCCATTGTCTTCTTGGTCTGTCTTGTGGTCTGTGACCATTCTTCTCCCTTGTGTATACAGTTTTTACTTCTCTATCATCTGACATTCTTTCAGTATACCCCAACCATTTCAGTCTATTAGATTTCATGATGCCAGTGATCAGTGGTGATTTAAACTGATTATGATTTTCGTTGGTTTGCTTCTCACTCTCCATTCCCCACTGTTTGCATCTTTGATGGGTCCAAAGATTTGTCGTAAGACGTTGTTTTTGAAAACCTGTAATAAGGCTTCATTTCTTCTAGTTGTGCTCCAAGTTTCAGAGCCATATAGAACGACTGGTCTTATCAGTGTTTTATATATTTTGATCTTGGTGTTGCGAGACAATTTGACTTGAGCAAATGTTGAAGGGCATAGTAAACTTTATTTCCAGATTGTATTCTAGATTGTATTTTATTATTAGTAGGAAAATTATTAGTTTTAATTGTAATTGTACATAATGAATTTGATAAACCTTTTATTTCATTCCAGAAACGTCACAGAAATGTTGTGTGTTTACAAATGCTGTCAAGTTGCCTCTCATCTTCACAGAAGAAATTTTAGTACTATATACAGACTTTTGTATTTTAAAAATCCATTTCCTGACAAGCAGAATGCAATAAAATGTGAATCAGAGAAATACAAAAGTGTTTTTCACCATGCACCACATATGCAGATACATTGTTTTTCGGGTGTTAATTCAATAAATAAATGTTCTAAGCCTGAAGATACAGCCATTCATAATGTGGACTATTTGGATGCAAATGACAAAGTTATATATGACATTTTAGCAAAAGATATGCTGGTACAGAAAGACTTTCTGACTGAAGAAGAAGAACAGTCTTTGTTGAATGAAGCTGAAAGATACCTATCACGTCTGAGATATCAGAATGGTCACTGGGATAATGTAAGTATAAACTTTCACTTCACTCTTGCTTTCACTTTAGATCTTTTCATATGTAGCGCCCTTGTTGTTAGCTGTTCTGATGCAGTTACTCACCATAAAGTTTAATTCAAGGTTTTGAAATCTTTTTCTTCTTCGCATTCACCAGCTGTAAACTCTGGCAGAAAGTTCTGGTTGTTCATCCACTTTTGTACTTCAGTCCTGTTCCAGAACCTGAATTTTGCGTGTGCATCGATTTTACAGATCTGATTCATTTGTATGCAGACTGATAGTTCCTTGCCTCTCAGGGAGATGCACTCCGACTTCGAAGGAAGCTGCCAATTAGTCGACTCTTACGTAGGCAGTGGGTCTATTCTTTTTTCCCCCCTTTAATAGGGTCCCAGAACCCACATGGGGATGTTTTGTTTTGTTTAGTATCTATTTTTTCCAAGCATTAATAAAATCTCATCATTCTTAAACCTTTTCACACAGAGTTGATTTTAAGTAGACTAAAGAGATGAAATCAGAGAATCGAATTGGGGCTACTGGGTGTCAGAGCTCTGTCAACCCTGTTGTTTGCTTTCAGTGTTTTCTGACATCTGTTGAGGTCATGCATTGACTTCTTGGAGAAACAGTTCTGTTGTATATTTTTTGCTGAACTCTGAGTAACTACATGTAGAATTTTGTTAGAATTTTGATTTAAGCTTCAAAATTAATTGTCTCACCTCCAGACATCAGATTCACAAGAATCACACCATTAGTAGCTCAAAAGACCTGTCTCACAGTGTCTGGGCCGGTAGACAGGGCAGGGTGTCATGAGTGTGGTAAATCAAGCAGGCTCAACTCTCTACTTTCTGAAGCTTCAACTCTCTGAACCCAGAGACCACTGGTGCACAGCTTTCATACACACCACACAAACATTTATAAATGCTGACCAGTTTAATTCTTCCACAACCAGAAAATGTTATAACAATTAACTGTTTTCAGTGCACATGGAACTTGCTATCAGTTTTAAAGGATTACCGCAGCTATTATTTTATTGTCGTGTGATTCCATTTAATACATACAATAGGTGGCACATCGGTATTGATTACAGGCCTGAGAGAAGTTAAGGCCATTGTGATGTGTGTAAGGAGTTACTCAATAGCTCACCTCGGGCGCCAGCTAGCTCTAGGATGGTTTTACAGATCCCCATGCAAGACTCCTACAGCACGTCCTCATCATGTGCCATAGATTGGGAGCTCACCTTTGTGACCTGAACCGAGTTGACAGGGGAACTCAGAGTTGGTGGCCTCTAGAGATGTAGTGTCCAGTCTGGCTCACATCAGCCCACCTCCAGTGCATGAGTGAAAACGTCTATCAAAGCGCATTTCAAACATGGGTAAAGTCTGCTAGCCGAACATACTACTAAATGCCAACCCTTGGTTAAAACGTCTGTCAAAGTGAAAAGAACTGCTGTACTGCTGAGATTCAGCCCTAAAACAAGAGATTTGCTCGCAGTCTAGCTGAGCTACATCTCTTGCAGGCAACAACTAGCGGAACAGTCCTGGCTGCATACATCTCTTGCTGTTCCTTAACATTGTCATCACTGCATTGAGGTACTAGAAGGGCGTAAATTTGCAGCTCTGTTGTAAATGGGCACAATGCATTTATGTCACTCAGACGAATGAAAAGAAGAAGAAGATATAAGGCAGGTCAGATTTGAAGTGTGCAAAATTTGTTTCCATCCTCAATACTTGCCGGAAAAAACCGCCTGAGGCATTACTTATAAATATGCATTTTTAAGGTACATATATATTATGAGACATGCAGGTTTTACTGGTCAGTAATATTGTGTCAAGACATATTTTTTAATATCCAGCTGGACATAACAAACTTAAAAGACATATGCACAGCTTCCATATACGTAGTTCACTAGTATGCCCATGTGGGCTGTGTGTGAGGACTACGGAACATGTCCTGCAAGAATGTCCCTTGTACAGCCCATTGAGAAAGGAATACTGGCCCACTAAGACAACATTGCACTCAAAGTTGTATGGAACCAAAATGAAACTCCTAAAAATTGTCAAGTCAATCACAAGAACTTGTCTGTCGGTCTAAATCAGAAAGTTAACACAAGAAGAAGAAGAAGAATATCCAGCTGAGTTGAGTAGACAGTCTTTAAACATGAGGACATAATTTAATAGTGGTATGTACAGTTCAGTTTACACATTTATTCATTTCCTGCTTTATTCTGGTTATTTGCTTTTTGCCTCTAGGCTATTCATGAATACAGGGAAACAGAAAAGACCTCTTGGAATGAAAATAATACGAAAGTCATTCATCGAGTTCAGAAACTGGCTTTTGGAGCAGGTGTTGTACCCCTGCCACATGTCCATGTGCTAGACATATCAAAAGATGGCTACATTAGACCTCATGTGGATGCAGTTCGGGTAATTCAGGTTTATCTCAGATTTTCTTGTTGTGAAGATGATGCAGAGATGTAAACTGTGAAGAATTTATGGCAAAATACCAGTAAAGAGTAAAATGTTTATAAACAAGAATTATGGTCAGTTTCCACGAACTGAAATCTTTAAGTTAAAAAAATCAGAAGAGTGTGGACTAAGAAGAGAGAAATGGCATACATACGACAAGAATTCCAGTTAACAGACTCTAGGTCTATTCGACTGATGGCCCACGGGTCAGATATTGTCGTCTGTGGCCTAGCAAGTGACCCGCTTATCATAGCCAAAACAGTAGAGTGTAGTTAATTTTTAAGAAAGAAGATCAATCATTTCATTGGCACCTTTCCGTCTTTCCAGACGATAGTGTTATATTGCGTTATGAGGAGGCATGAGACTCACAGCCCATGGAGATGGAGAGTGTGACTAGCATAAAGCCTGGGCAGTATTGTAGAGACCATATGTTGCCCATGCTTAATGATCCCCCCCCTCAATCTGCCTTGTTTACTCCAAAGGAAAGGTAAAACCAGTGCTCTATCTGTCCGCCTGTCAGAGCTTCCCTCCTAGACCAGCTGCCAGCCAAGGCTAAGGGCCTGTTCTGCCCTGCCATAACACAACGTTTTCAGACTGCATTTCCTCTTCCTAGGATAAGGCTAGTATCCTCCCCAATGCGCTCCTCCTCCCGAAGCCGTTGGCTTTTAAGAAAGAAAATCAATATGCTCTGTATAAATGTACAAAAGCCAGTTGTGATGATGTTTCAGTAGGAAATGTTTATCAGGAAACTGTAAATGTAGACATTCAAATTTAGTTTCAATAGTTAGCAGAATGTGCTAAAGATAATTAGATAGGATGGAAAGAATCAAGTAACATGTAGGAAAGCAACCGTTCTACAAGACAGTCAATAAAAGTGAGATATTTGTTGGACAGGAGAGCGTATGAAAATACTGGCATGGTCCAGGTAGTTAGCACTTAGATTACCAAGAAACTCTCTGAAATGGCAGCAACTGGTACACACAAACTAATGGCATTGGGAGCCGCAGAACACCAGTGACACTGGACACCGCAGAACACTAGTGATACTGGACACCGCAGAACACCAGGGACACTGGACACTGCAGAACACTAGTGACACTGGACACCGCAGAACACCAGGGACACTGGACACTGCAGAACACTAGTGACACTGGACACCGCAGAACACCAGGGACACTGGACACTGCAGAACACTAGTGACACTGGACACTGCAGAACACCAGGGACACTGGACACTGCAGAACACTAGTGACACTGGACACCGCAGAACACCAGCAACACTGGACACCGCAGAACACCTGTTAGTGATCTTGTGATCAGATTATAATCAGATTTTCATAAACGTCCAGTCACACACAAGTCATAACTAGACATTGATTTTCAAATGCAATTGTGTGTTAACAAACTAAAACAGTAACAGTGTTTTAAATTTTCTACATTTTAATAATTTAGTTCAATACTTGATGCCATGGCTAGTACAAGTAAGAGAGCAAAGTGGGAATATGAAATAATTTAGTTCAATACTTGATGCCATGGCTAGTACTAAGGAGAGAGCAAAGTGGGAATATGAAATAATTTAGTTCAATACTTGATGCCATGGCTAGTACTAAGGAGAGAGCAAAGTGGGAATATGAAATAATTTAGTTCAATACTTGATGCCATGGCTAGTACTAAGGAGAGAGCAAAGTGGGAATATGAAATAATTTAGTTCAATACTTGATGCCATTGCTAGTACAAGTAAGAGAGCAAAGTGGGAATATGAAATAATTTAGTTCAATACTTGATGCCATGGCTAGTACTAAGGAGAGAGCAAAGTGGGAATGTGAAATAATTTAGTTCAATACTTGATGCCATTGCTAGTACAGATAAGAGAGCAAAGTGGGAATATGAAATAATTTAGTTCAATACTTGATGCCATTGCTAGTACAGATAAGAGAGCAAAGTGGGAATGTGAAATAATTTAGTTCAATACTTGATGCCATTGCTAGTACTAAGAAGAGAGCAAAGTGGGAATGTGAAAATTGTGCATTCAGTAATGACCAGACCCTGAAATATTTACTTATATCACTGACCATGCCTAATTCAAAGCCAGTGTGCTTGCTGTGCAGTCAGTGTGTGTCGCAATAAAGAAATACAACGTGAAGCGCTATTTTACAATGAAAAATGCAGATTTTGGAAAATTTTAACCAGAAAGTTTGTTTAACTACTAGGATTATGTGAGAATTTCTTGACTTCACACCTGCCAAATGTTATTAAATTAGCTCAAAAATAGAAACACAACTTTTCCCATTAATAACATTTTGCGTCATTATATTTCAAACTTTTCCTCGATTTAGTCATCTGGTGACTGAAAAAAAAAATGTTTTTAGTGTTGTGACATTGTGTCATCGAACCATAGCACTTCGCGTCTTCCTTTCTTCTCAGTGGTCTAAGGGTTCAGTTGCTTGGCTATTCTCAAAAGCTCACCAACTCCACATTTCTTTTGCTGCTTCATAGTTATAAAGATGTTATAAAGATGTTATAAAGATAAGTTATAGGAAAGGGTTTTTCTTAATGAAGTTTGAGAAAATGAATATTTTTTTTACAGATTCTTACATGGGAAAAGGGTTATTTATTCATTCTAAAAACATAACAGAAACAAAATTTAAAGAAAACATTTATAGACTGACATGACCCATGTTTTATTTTCAGTTTCCCCTCTTCCCCCTTCTAGGTTTGCATTCTGGAGGATTAATACTAAGTAACTCAAAGATCTGTATTTATGAAGAAAAATTGGTAGAATAGTTGAGCAGTAAAACCTTATTAACCCAAATTCCAGTGGGCCAAAATTAGAGTTCTAAAAAATAAATAAATATCTGTGCTATCAGGCATTAATACATCCCTGCTGGGACCAACAAGTTAATGTTAACCAGGTGTTTTTCTTATGCGAGTTTGTGTTAACTAGGTTTCACTATTGTCAGTTTCTAGTGAAAATATTCTGTTTTGCTACTAAATGGAAAATAGATTACAAATTAGAGTCATAAAAATGATAAAACTAGGAATGTGGCGAAAATGTTTAGCTCACCATAAAAGTGAAACGTGTGATGAATACAGCATATGGTACAAGAAGGTGATGATACAAAAACCAACAAGAGTGCATAGAATCACTTCTTTTTATGGTGAGATCTGGCACAAAATCTCGATAACATGCTTGAACAGTAGATACCCTTCCTGTGCATGTCACTGCAAGATGTAGAAACTACACAGGAAGGATTAAGAGAGGTGGCATGGGCAGGCCGGTGAGGGGTGGCAGAAAAGGACATTATTCAAAATTGTCCATGATTAAACTGTCAGAAACTAATGTGTTTATGAGAGAGAGAGAGAGAGATTTCATTACAGATAAGGCAATTTTCAAGTAACCTGTGGACTCTTTCATTTGAATGACTAGACTTAATGGCCATAACAACCATGTCAGAAGCACCTTGATGACACTAAGGCAGGATGTTGGAGACATTTCACATCAGAGCTTGAAGTTTATCGACAATGAAATCGTGAAACCCATTGATTACTGTTCTGAACCTGTTCTCAGCCATACAAATTTTCCATGCAAACTCTTGACCTGGTTACATCCTAATTTACTAGTTTGTGTGGGTAAATGTAACATTATAATGTAATTTTTGAGAGTATAATGAATATAAAACTGTACTTCATTGAAAATCTCTTTCATAACATTTAAAAAAAAAATATACAATCATTGTTTTCATTTTCTTTGGTGCACATATTTTTTTATTTTAGCTTAATAATAGATTTTATTATTTTTAGCTTAATAATAGATAATTTCTTTTGCAGTTCTGTGGGGACACAATTGCAGGAATGTGTCTTTTGTCATCATGTGTTATGCGTTTAGCACTAGAGAAAGACAGTTCTAAATATGGAGATGTCTTCCTGCCAAGACGCTGCCTATACATCATGAAGTATGCTTACAGTTTATATTTGTAGCTTTGGCCTCCTATAGCTGTTTCTTTTTCCCCAGGAAGATCTGAAAGTGTTTCTCTCTCTCTCTCTCTCTCTCACATACACACATGTGCGAGCGCGCGCGCGCACACAATTAAAAAGGCGGGAAGAATCGCGTTCAACCAGCATCCCCGAAAGAGGAGCTTCAGGTTATAATTGTGACCAGGTTATTTAAACCATATAAAATGGCTTAGCAATGCATGCCGGCAAGAGCCCTAAAAAAAGACTCCTGCAGTGTTGACGCCATCAAAGGAGACAGACCCAGATACTGTCCTGACAGTCAACACACACACGCACACGTAACACACTCTATATCTGTTTCTGTCGCTTTCTGCTTTCATTGCTTATAGAAGTCATAGACATGTTTGTTAATTGCACATTTTTTGCTTACCGAGACAATGATCTGGATTTATTTTCCAGCAATTAGGCAACATTTTATGTCCATTACAACCCTAGGATCAGTCTAGCTTAATAAAACAGTTACCGGACATTCTCTCTTTGTGTGTTCTTTGCCTCCTTAAGTGGCAAAGAAGAACAGACTCACTGTCTTCCTAACAGTTCTGTCGTAAGAGTTGACTAATTTGGGGAGAGCATCTGCCTGAGAGGTAAGGTCTGTGTGCAAATAAGCCAACTCTGTAAAATGGATGTACACACAGCACTCAAGTTCTGGAGCAAGACTAAAGTCTAGAAATGAACAAACAAGCTGAACTTTCTACCAAAGTTTACAGCCAATAAACGTGAAAAAAAAAAAAAAAAAACAGAAGTTACCAGAATGTTTTTAGAAAAATAAACTTGTGAGAACTTGATCGATTTATTGAATGAGAGATTTATGAGAATAACGAAGGAAGATTCTTGACAGCCGTATGCTATGGCTTGAAAAAGTATCTGAAAATTACCTGGGAGAGAAAAATGACAAAGGTAACTAGAGAAATTTCATTTTTAATTTCCTTATGGTTTTGATAAGTACACTGAATAGGCTACTATCCAGAATAAGTTTAAAGGTTATAACAGTTACTCATGACATTTTTAAAAAATAAAAAGCGTAACTCCAGTTTATATATATAAAAAAAAAAGCAAAAGTAGAAGACCCTTATCACACCACTGGCACATTAGGCATTTGATGCCAGACACATATTTTTATTGCCCAGTCGGCACTCAATGGGGGATGTGGTCAGTACCCTGCTAGCCATCTTTACTTCCCATGACTCCTACTCTACCCAGTTTATACTGTATCGACCCAGTAATTCTAGTTTGAAGTTGTGTACCCTTTACAGGATGTTGCAGAACCAACCTCAGCATTTTTTAGCTATTGTGGTTTTTTTAAAGGAAAATTTATGTTCAGTAGTTTTTCATTGCTTTCGGGATGGTTGGCTTCTCGATACCATTGTCGAAACCAACGAAAGGCCCGCAGCTGGGATCGAACCCGGTATTATGAAGCGCGTTCCTAACGCCTAAGCCACAGGCGCTGATGGTAATTCTAGTATCAACCAAAATTTAATCCATGCTGTGTTTTTTTAGTTCTAATTTTGTTGCTAAAAATAAATTTATTATTTGTCAGATTATGGAATAGAACCACAGACACTTTGATTTAAAAATTATTTAATGTAACATAGTTTGGAGTTATGATGTTAATTATATTCATTTTATTCTCAACATTGCTTTTTTCAGACACAGAGCACGGTATGAATTTACACATGAAGTCCTCAAAGCTGAAGATTCTGTATTCAGAAACCAGATTGTTCCAAGGGACAGACGTATTTCAATCATTTGTCGCTGCGAACCTGATCCTGCTAATTCCCAGTGAAGCTTACAATGAATCATGGCCTTATTTAACATTTGTTAACACTTTCAGCTCCAGAAGGTTTCACAGCAGACGTCCAAGGTGGCGTATAACCAGTGTAAGAAATCACCAGTGTATTACTTTCAAGGAGTTAAACTAATGAAGAGTGGGTGGCAAAATGTTTAAAAACTTAGAGCTGTCTTTTCAGAGACCCAGGTGTCAGACCTTGGTATGGTGCTGGTAAATTTCTTTTTTCTGTCAGGGGCAAAATTTAGGATCATTACCTGCACATTTAATGGTGACAGTTAACGTTGTCATGATTCCTCAAGCTGAAGACCCCTCATTTATGCCATGGGAGCACACATCTTTATATCGTAGCAGAGGCTGATCCAGGATCCACGGCTTTTTCCTTGCCGTTTGCAACTTTGTGTTGAGTACTGGCATATTTTTCCTAGGAAAAAAAACCTTCCTCCCCCTTTCCATATTACGGTGCCGTACAAAAAAAAATTTGTAATTACAAGTGGTAAAGGCAGTTTAAAGAAAATATAAAGTAGACGTGGCTATAATCTTTAGCTTGCATTGATAAACTGTAATCTCTAAGAAAAGACATTACTTGAAGTCTGAGATTCATGAAAAGGGTCCACCACATCATACACAGTGCTTGGGACTGAAAGAGTTAATGGTGTTGAATGGGTCAAGTAGAAAGCAATTGATGTCACTGGTGGCACAGGATTAAAAAAAAGTGAATATCGAAGAAAAAAAAATTAATAAAATAAAATAAAAATAAAAAGAGTTAATGGTGTTTTAGCTGATATGCAAATCCATATGCTTTTGTTTTACAGAATGATTTTTTCTTGCCAGGGAATCATGGATACTGAATAAAGAGAGTAGAAAGAAATGAAGATCAGAGATGTTTCTTCTTCAAAATGCTAAGAATTCCATGTCTGACTAAGAACACACATACTGAAGTTATGTAAGATGCCTTTTCACAAAGACATTTCAGTACTCACATCAGGATCAAACATTTTTTTTTTTAAACTTTGTAGTCATGAGAGGGTGCAGTGGTATCACTGTAGCTAGCATGCTTGCTTTAGTCCCTAAGGGTATTCTCTATGATAAATTACCGATGGGTAGAAGATATTGGATCAGCCTCTGCTACAATATAAAAATATGCACCAATAGGACATAAATGATAGAGGTATTGAGCTGAATTCATAGAAACAGGATGGTGTGGACTATGCTGCATTGAGGTGTAAATCATGAAGGGAGTAGGAATACAGGGGAAAATGATTGCACATATGTTAAGAGCTGAAAGTCTGAGAAAAAGCACATTCTTTGGCAACAAAGGTCCAGAAATCCCTTGCTGTAATTGTGGAAGACTTTTTAAAATTTTTACATTGGTGGGTCTTGCTAATCCCAACTTGCCATTGCCATGGGCTCTGATTGATTCCCATGTCTGCCTACAGCATAGCATAGCACAGTTGTCTGGAAAAATAGTAATGTACCGGCAACAGCACAGGCTAAAACTTCATTGAGATGAATTTTATAAATTGGCCTCTTCTCTCAACAGGAAATGTCTTTGGACATAAGGGCGTTTATGTAATATAGACCACATGATCTGTTGAGTATCAGTTGGTCTGTAAAAATTAAGGGCTAGTAGCATCTTATGTCCAGTAAGCATAAAGATGTGAAAAGGACCTTTACTTTGTTTTATAGACAAGAGGGTCCTGAGCAGGCTGGGACAACTAGGAAGATCACAGTTGTAAGCCAGTAGACAGATCATCCAGTTCAATCTGTAAGTGCTCAGGTCCCTTGAATAAATCCCACAGGGTGTAGCAGCTGATGACATCAGTTCTATGTTGGTTAATTCTTCTTCTTTGGCTTCCTTTATAATTCTTTTGGCCTCAGATCAAAATTGTTAGAGAAGATATGAAACCAGGTGAAAAGTAGAATCAGTTAGTCTTGCATTATCATAAACATGAATGACAGATGAACACTGTGGCTAGAGAACCTGCATCAGCATATTACATGAATTTAGAATACAACAAACACAAACAAAAATACACAGAATCCTTTAACTGAAGTGTCACTGAGAGGAATCACATATCTGTCTGGCCAGTTGAATCTCTGACAGGTGTGTGACTACTGGAAATAACTTCTAGCCAGAGAAAGCTTTGAATGGCAAAGGCTGTTAACTGAATTGTTTATTTTGGATAAAACTGCGTTGGATGTCAAGTTCCTTTGATGAAATGGATCCCAAAGTTCTTAGGGACAGTGACGATACAGGGAAAACATGAGTTGGCAGAGTGGTATGGAGGATAATCAGCATTCAGATTAATCAAAAATACAGACACCAGATATTTGCGAAGAAACATGATTGCTTGCAGTATTCAGCATGGCTTATTGTCATAATGATAAAAAATTGATGATTTATTTCAAAATGTTTTAACCTAATACATGTCACTGAATTCTTTTGTAAATGATCATATTAAATTTTAGAAATTGCCAGAGCATGTTTTGTTTATATTTGTTTACTGTGAGGTGTCTCGTAAAAATATGTACCAGACAATTTTGAGAATTTTCTAGGTATTTTCTGGTAAGGAGAAGCACTGTCGAAAGAAACTGGTTACCCTCATTTAATCTGTTCCTGGTGTTTGTGTATGTGCATGTGTGTGTGTGTGTATGCTGTTGGGGGAAAATAGATCCAGATTTTTTGTTGGGGGAAGAGGGATGGGGGGGGGGGGGGGGGGGGGGGGGGGGGGGGGGGGGGGGGGGGGGGGGGGGGGGGGGGGGGGGGGGGGGGGGGGGGGGGGGGGGGGGGGGGGGGGGAGTGTACACTCACACCCAAGAAGTGGGTAGGCGGGGCTCAGGTGCACCACCCCCTCCCCACCCAAGTGGATTGTGGGTCTCCCTCCTCCCTACCAAATATGTTTTTCAGGGAGCTCAGATGCTGCCTTTAATTATGTATATCAATTATTTTGTTTTTACATATTATGTTATTTCAAGCAAATTATTATATTTGTTTGACATTCAGCACCTTGTCGTTATTATTATTAATGTACTGAATGGCAAATTAATACAATACTATACCTAAAATAATATGCAATGTATTACACCCTCAAAATAATTTTTTTTTTATCTGCACATAAAATTTCTATGCATGGTTAAAATGGAAAACATATTGGGTGAGGGCGAATTGGAGTGGGTCTCAAGGAACCCGAGATCCCATGCTACGGCACATATCAGTGACTGCAGATACATCGGAACAGTTAAGGGGCCAAGTGTAACTACGTTATATGATTGGACTGGGTTTCTGGGATTTGCTCCTATTGTATTCTTATCCAAATAGTCTCTCTGGGGGTCAATCTTTCTTATTCTTCGCGCTCGCCTGCTGTAAACTCCTGTGGAAAGTATTGGTCGTTCATCTAGTCTTGTACTTTGATCTTTGTGGGGCTGAGTGGTCTCAAGGTATGAAATCAGCCTCGAGTGCTGGAGGTCACCGGATTCAAACCCCAGTGAAGGCTGGGATTTTGTCACATGGAATTTAGTAATTTCCCCTGGTCTCTGGGTAGTAAGACTGGACGCCCGTGTGTATTGTTGCGCACATAAAAAAATCCCTTGGCAGTTGGAAATCAAAAGAGAGTAGCCTAACGGCACTGCCCGGGCAAAATTTGTGTTAAAAATCTACCCAAAGTATTTCAGGATCCAAGATCCTTGCCAGTGCAAGAGTTCGTGCACTACGCTGAGATTGTTCAGACTCAGGCTTGAGTTGGAAGTAGAACGGAGCAATTATGGGTTGCACTAGTGTGCCATGATATTGATCTGAATAAACATAAACTTTGGTCTTGTTTCACAACATGAGTTTTAGGTAAATAGGGAAGGTGCTTTGCTGGCCAAAAGGAGTGTGGGGGTAGTGTCCGTTCAACCAGCATCAATGAAGGGGGAGCTTTAGGTTATAATTGTGACCTGGTTATGTACGCCATATAAAATGGCTTAGCATTGCATGCTACCAAGAGCCATAAGAAGGATTCCTGCAGTGTTGATGCGATTAAAGGAGACAAACTCATATACTGCCCTCACAGGTGACGTAGTCGTCTACTGGCGAGCCAATGGGCGATCCGGTCGCTGATGATGTCAGTTTTGCGTGCAATTCATTTTGTAGATCTGGCTTAATATGGGCGGACGGTTGGTTCCTTACCTCTCAGGCAGATACGCACTGGCTTAGGGGGGAAAAAGTAAATTCTATATACTAATTGAGCTTAAGAAAGCCCTTAAAAAAAGAGAATAGGGGCTATTGAACTGAAATGCTATAGGAAGATTCTTAGAATATCTTGGACAAAGAAGAGGAGAAATATTGACATCTTGAAAGATCTGAACATCAAGGAAGATTGGCTAATAAACAGCATCATGTATCGGAAGCTGAAATATTTTGGTCATATCAAGCGCCACGACAGATTGGAAAAAATAATAGCAGAAGTCATGCAGCAGGAAGGAGGTGTAGGGGCCGACCAACACGAAGATTGGCACAGGATATAAGTGACTCCTTGAGTATGAAAGTACATGAGGCGGGAGTGCTGGCGAGAGACCAAGTTTCTTTCAGGCAGACTGTGATGAGAGCGATGTTCTGCAAAGTACCTGCTACATGATGATGAATTAAGCTTACTTCTCAATCAGGTTAATTCGTTGTGATTGTATGCAAAACTTAAAACCGTAAGCAAGAGCCCCAGTTTGCATTTTACCGAGTGTTAACGTTGATAGATTTACTAATGTGATAAATTCATCATTGCTAACATTCAGTGAAATGCAGACTGAAACTCAGTTTGAAACAATATACTCGTAAGCCAGGCCCTAAGGTTGGAACCAGAACCTATTTTGTGGATAGGTGTAGATGTCTTGACCAGCATGAGCTACAGCTGTGCATCAACCCTGGTCTGTCACAACAAGTGGTTCAGCACCTATAAACTTGATGAGGTGTCTTGCCCTTTGGCTTTGGCGATCATGTCTGCCCACAATCTGCGATCTTCAACCACATGTATCGGTTCATCTGCTTACATCCCTTCCTTTTATGACAAAATAGGCCTGCTGTGAAGAATCTTTTCATGCTGTCTTTCACTGTCTCTTTTCCCACAGATCTTTCAAATAGTCCCAGTTTTTCCGGTATCCTTTTTCTCACAACACAAACAATAATTGATGACAGTCTTTTTTTGAATGCTTGTGATGAGTTGTCTTCCACTCCTCACCTCTTTTATGATATTGGCGACGCCTGCTGGTGGATGTAATGTCCTAAGTCCCTTCCCCAGCTAATAATGAGGGTACTGCTGGGGTGACCGTTTATCAACCCTCATATAATTCTTCTGGTCAAAATGGACGCTAGGTACAGCCACCATTTTTTTTTTTTTTTAAGCCATGGCAAATGTTTTTTTGTTTTTTTTGGTTTGTTTTAGCCAGACGATGGTCGTTGCATTTTTGCTCCATTTGTAGACTGGAAGGATGTAGTTTCGTCGCCCAGCTTCTGAGTTGAGTGCATGGCATGACACTGTGAGCTGCGTTTGTTTTTCGTTGGCACAGGAGCGGAGCATATGTGGGGTGACCCGTTTGCTATGAAGCTGAAACTAGGATTACCAGATTACCAGATGATATCTGCATTGCTTTTTTTTAAGGATGTTTAAGGAATTCTTCTGTAAAACCAGATCTCCGAAGCCTCAAGAAATTGTTTGGCATGTTTGTTAATCGTCCAAGATTCACAGCCTTTTGTTAAAATTGGCGCTATACAGCATGCGAGAATTCTTCTACTTCTTCCTATTCACCAGCTCTAAAACTCCAGTGGAAAGTTATGGTTGTCCGTTTCACAGGTATCATTCATCTGCATGCAAACTATTGGTTCCTTGCCTCTCAGGCAGATGTACTCTAACTTCGAAGGAAGAGTCGTTCTGCAAAGAACCTGTTATGTAGACGTGCTGCCACGAAGAAAACATGGGGAAAAGGGGAGCTCAACCCTACAATTCTTCTTCCCCCCCCCCCCCCACACCGTTGCAGTAAACAATTAGGAAAACATTAGACAGGGGGCCTTAACCACAACTCCCAACAGCACCCTCCTCACCACCTAAACTAAAAATTAGGTGGGGGCTTAGATCTCTTCAGCCAGGCCCTCCCCCCCTCTCCACCCCCAATAAAGTGAGAAAACACTGGGGAAATCACAACCACGCCCCTCACCACCATGCACATTTTCTAGCAAGTAGTTGGAATAGGGATGGGAAGAAGGAGGGGGGTTCAGGCAATCTAGTGCCCCTAAAAAATACCTTGAGGTTGGGGGAGGAGGGGGGAGGGGAAGCTGAGGCTCAGGATGCCCCTTTTAGCCATGTATATTTTCTTTTTTCTTCGCGATCACCAGCTGTGAAATCTGGCTGTAAGTTCTGATTGTTCAGCCTCTTTTGGACTTTCGTCTTTTTCCAAAACCTAAGTTTTGTGTGCACATCCGTTTTACATATCTGGATATTTTGCAGACTTCTAGTTGTTTGCCTCTCAGGCAAATGCACTTCGACTTCGATAGCTCAGCTTCCCCAAAGTTGGAGGAATGGGGGGTGCGGGGAGGTTCAAGGAACATAAGCTCCTAGGTTAAGGCACCTTTGCCGTAACATGACAAAAAACAGTCACATACGGGGGTTGTGGGGAGATTAGGAACGGAAAGCGAGTTTTTGAAAGAACTAAAAAAAATTGATAGTTGATATATTTCGACCACGTTAAAAGACATAACCCTCTTTTAAAAACTATACTAGGGAGAAAAGTCGAAGGCAAGGAAAGAAGAGGAAGACAACGATAAAATGGGGGGGGGGGAACAACATCAAGCGATGGACAAACAGCAGCCTGAGAGAGTATATTACAACGATAGGAGACAGAGTGTGTTGGAGATCCTTTGCAGCCAACCTGCATTGTGGTTGTCACACAATGATGTGTGCTATCTCCTCTCTTATTTACTATATATATATATATATATATATATATATATATATATATATATATAAAGAGAGAAAAGAGAGAGAGAGAGAGAGAGAGAGAGAGAGAGAGAGAGAGAGAGAGAGAGAGAGAGAGAGAGAGAGAGAGAGAGAGAGAGAGAGAGAGAGGGGGTATCAAAAGAAACCCGTTTTTTAACAGTCGACCCAGAAAAAAAAAGGAACTTTACTTTCCAGAGGAAGAATTAGATCCACACATAATAAATGAGCTACAATGAGTTGAGTTGAGTATAGTATTGACATCACAGCACTCGAGGCATTCCCATGCGCATTCCGTTCTCATTTTCAGCAGCTAGCGCAGAGTTCCAATACTAATGGTACCGGTTGTAATTGTGTTATATATGTCTGTCTTAGTCGGCTCTGTGGCTAACTTGATGCGAGCGCTTTGTTATGTCGGGGTTCCGGGTTCGATCCCAGCTGCGGGCCATGCGCCTTGCGTTGGTTTCGACAGTGATATCAGGGGATCGACCGTCTAGAAAGCAATGGCAAACTACTGGACGTAAATTTGCCTAGAGAAACCCCACAACAGCCAGGGGCTGCGGGGTTGGTTCTGCAACGTCCTGTAAAGGATACGCAACTAACCTATGTCCGTCTTGCCTCTCCTCTGAGTGTAGTGAGCCGGCCAAACCCCATAGTTACACCCAGGTGCATCATTCTCTCTAGGCCATAATAATCTTGTTTCTCTTCTGACTTCGTTACATGTTGCCAAAGGGCCTTGTCATGTATCAATTCACCCCCCCCCCCCCCAGTGGGGCAGATTCAGCCAGTCTGTCTGCCTATTCATTCCCCACCACGCCGGCATGGTCTGAAGAAAAATCCAGTGTGGTCACTACCCGTGACCTTCCCAGGGAAGCTTGCCACTCTGCTTGAAGCATCCCTGTCTCAACCTTTCTCAGCACGCTCTCAGAGTCTCTTACAATTACGATATGTGTATGCATCTTGTTCTCTCGTCACCGAAAAGCTACAGTGACCATCTCCACCTCCATTCCCATGCTAGATGTTATGGTATCGTATGCTAGGCTGTCCCATTAGATTTTCATTTGGCTTTCGCTACGAACACCCAGGCACTTCTCTTCTCTCTCAACACAGAACCATCTGTATATATAACCAAAACATCTGGGTGAGAATTGTCGTGAATCAACTGTTGGACTTCCACCTCCGTTGCACCTGCTGGTCACTCTCTGTACTCCTGGCCCAATGTATCATGACCCTATATAGGTCAGGCTTTTTCTCTGGTACTCTGACCCACTTCTTTCCTTACCCAATGTTCTCCAGCATGCATACTTGTCTTATTGTGTCTTCTGCTTGAGCTATCCACAGTTTGTCCCTGTTCAGCCTTCGACCCGTAACTGCAGCCAATGCTTATGATATAGCTACTATTTGTAAGCTACTATCTGCAGACGATCAGTGCCTGTTATACAATGAGGGGAATAGACTGAAAGACCATTTAAACAGGCTAAGTTCAACATGCAGAATATATAACATAAAAAATAATTACTACTTCAACTGAAATCATGCAGCCTTCCAGTGCCAGCCTTGGACATTACCAAAAGCTAACCTACATAAAATTAACACCTGTGCAATGAGATACATGAGAAAAGCCGTCAACTTAACCATCCTAGATAAAGTTAGAAATGATATTATCAGACAGACTGTAGGAACCACATCATTAAGCAAATTCATTGAGGAACATTAAGATCAAATGGTTTAGTAATTGAGTAAGAATGCAGCCAGAATAACTACCAACTCAGGCGTTATCAGAAACGATCTGTAGTGAAATCAAGAGGTCGCCATAGGAGAATATGGATTGATGATATTAAAGAGATTCTACATCGAAAAGGAATGAAAATAGCCATTACTGCCCATCAAGCAATGGATCGCAAACTGATCCTCTCCACAACGCTTAACTGCAGAAGTAGAAATTGGTGATGATGACACAATGATCATGATACATTTATGTGAGGCAGTGTTTCTCAACCTTTTTACACCCGCGACCCACCACATCGGGACAAGTTTATCACGTGTCACCTGACATCTAACCAAAAACAAAACTAAATGTAGATGACAATTGATTACGTTAAATGTCACACAAATTACAGTTTTTGGTTACTGTGAATCTGCTGCTGCTTTGAAGTTAGAAAAGCTGTGGCTAGAGCGTTGTTTCTGATTGATGAAGCGTTGCCATAGCATCCATTCGATTTCTGTTTTTTTTTAATGACATGAATGACAAACTTTTTCCCACAAAAAAAAAAGTTAGAAGGAGAAAAAAAAAAAAGATCTACAGTCTGATAGCTCTAGGACAGAAAATTTAGGCAGTTCACTTTGGACCCCCCCCCCCCCCCCCCCCCACCACCCCCCACCCAGGGGTTCAAGAACACTGAAACAAGGGGCATGACTGTCGATACAGGACGATATACACCTGACAAGGGAAATAAGTATCCCATTGTGGCAAAACTATATCACAGTGACTTCCCTTGACTAAGGTCACCTCAAGGGAAAAATGGCGAACATATCCAAGAAAGCGGATGAATTAAAAATCGATCCTGTCATGGAAAAACCATGGCAGAGAGCACAGCGCTTCGAGAAGTACGACTACTATTGTAAGTCAGCTTACCCGCCAATGCAGCTAGAACCTTTGCCTTTTGAGAGAAACAGACTTGCTAACGGAGGCATGACGTCAGAGCAGAGAGCTTTACGTAAACAGTGGGTGAACGACCAAATTCTTCACCACGAAGCGCGAGAGATTCCTGAAGTTCAGCCTTATAATATCTTTCGGAGAATCTATAGATGGCCCGCAGATACTTTTATTTTCAACCCGGCTAAGAAGTTTATTGTAAGTATGCAGCATCTGCTCATGTTCAAACATATTTTCAGTAACATAATCAAATCACTATACTATAACAAAATATTTGGCAATCTCCGAATAACGGCCACATATTATGGCGGCCAAAAACAGGCTCTCAGTCACATGTAAGTTGCAGACTTTCGGCCACTTAAATTTCGGACCTTTAGCGTGGCTAAACTTAACTAGATGGCTGGGACTCACCAGCAAAGCTGCAGGAGATGCGGAAGCTGATGCTCGTGAGTCCCAGCTATGTAGGTAAGCCCCGCTCTGTGCTGTGTGTAGCGGCGCGGAAAATACTCTCGGCTGGGGCAGTAGCCGCAGGAAGTCCGCAATTTACATGTGGCTGAGGCTCTGTCAGGGTGTGTTTTTGGCTGCCATAATATGTGGCCGTTATTCGGAGAATAGCCAAATATTCTTAGATCTGGTAATGGTGATAGAAAGATTGACAGACTGCTATCTCAGCATATGCACGTTGCAAAGGAAAGGACTTCCTGTTATTAATCCTAATTGTTCAAAAACTTATTCATAAAAGTGTGTTTTCCCTTCAAACGGAACAAAATTGAGTGTCTCTGTCATGATCCAGTATACTGGCGAAAGGTCTTTAAGGTCCTTAATCACCAGTATACTGGGTAAACATCTGTAAAGAGTTAGTTTTTATGGATGGAATCCAGTCCCACACCTTTGGTTTTTCTCATTGTTTGCCTTAGGATTTCTCTTGGACGTTCTTATTTACTCGATCCCTCTATTTCCAATTTCAAATCATATTAACCATAAATGAAGCAAACTGAATTGTCAGTGTATAAAGTAAAGTAGATTATCCTTTTCATGCCAGTGCCATATCAGGCATGTAGTGTTGGGGGGGGGGGGGGGGGGGGGGGGGAGAATAACCCACTGTACCACTGACAAGCATATCATAAATAGTAACTAATTAAAGATGTTTTCATCAAGGGTGCGTCTGTCTGAGAGGTAGGGAACTGTCAGTCTGCATATAAATATGTCCGATCTGTAAATTGGAAATGCATGCATAATTTAAGTTGTGGAACAAGACCAAAGTCCAGAAGTGGATGAACAACCAGAACTTTCCAGCAGAGTTAACAACCGGTGAACATTAAAAAGAAGACCCATATTTGTATATATTAGTCAGCAATTGAGAGGTGATGGCCATCTTTACTTGCCATCTGATTTCCTGGCACTAATTTTAGATTGAGTTGACCTAGAAGCCAAGGTCTTTTAAACAAACAAAATTCAGCTGGACGTGGATTCAAACGCATGTCAAAGTATCTAGCCACTGCTGCAAGAGGCTAGTGCTGGTGTTTGAAATTGTGGTGCATGTGTAGAGGAGTGGCTGGCCCAGCAGTTACCAACAGCCTCCCTGACAAGCTTGTAAAAGTGACTGATTAGGGGTTTGCAGAATCTGGAAGTATTCAGGCTGGAAGGTAAGGGGTTTGCAGAATCTGGAAGTATTCAGGCTGGAAGGTAAGGGGTTTGCAGAATCTGGAAGTATTCAGGCTGAAAGGTAAGGGGTTTGCAGAATCTGGAAGTATTCAGGCTGAAAGGTAAGGATATTGCAGCCTAGCTGTCATTGGGGTCATGGTCTTTTTGTTTTGTTTTATATGTTAGAGGCAACAACAACAACAAAAATTTAACCTGCACAGTCCGTGGTGACAGCATTAGCCAAGCAGCCCTAAGTCTTGAGGTTGAAAGATACCTTGACTACATGGTAAAAACAGTAAGTACAGACAGTTAACTGACAGCTACTTGTATTTGTTTCAGGGTGCTGAAAGAGCTGATCTTCTGAGATACACTATCCCGAAAGCCATTATGGCCTTACTGGGCTCATATTTTATTTGGTACCAAATCAAGTACCACCCAAGTGTGAGTATCAGTAGTTTTCCTTCTTTGAAGATAACTTTAAATCTTTTAATTCAGGGCAAAGAAGAGACACTGGGGTTGGATAGGATACACTGTCACAAAATCTGAGAACAGTATAACAAGAATATCTTCACACTGGAACCCACAAAGGCATAGAAATAAATTATCTTCACATTTTCTAAGCCAAAACATACAAGGTGAGGTGACTGTCTTTTCTAGCCAACTTTCCCCCTGTACACTTCTGGGAAAAAAAAAAGTTAAAATTGTCTGTCACCAGTTTGTATGAGAGTGTCAATTGCAGAACTGTACCAATTGTAAAAGATCCTGCCACTTCTGGAGATTTAACCTGCACCACTCTCGCATCAGGCAGACACACTTTACAAATATGGATCATACTGTCTTTAAATAGAATCTATAGAAGACCCACAGAAGGGAAGATGAGTGAAATTAGGGTGTCATGGGTACGTGCCATGGGTGTGGTTACAGACGCCAGCAGATCATAGGCATTATTTTATGTTAGCAGATGCCACCATGTAGTCTATGGATAAATTTCTCAGTGCATCGAAAATTTCCTTGGAGATATTTAGAATTTTTTATCTAAAATTCCCTGATAGAAATTTCTTACTGCATCTAAAATTCCCTTAAAGAACTTTCCCTGTGCATCTAAAATTCCCTTGGATACATTTAAAAAAATGTATCCAAAGGTTCGTTGGAGAAATTTTTCATTGCTTCTTCCTTTGAAGAATTTTCTAAGTATGTCTAAAATTCCTTAGAGAAATCTATCAGTGTATCCTCCCACAAAACATTTAATGCATATAACAATTCTCTAAGAGAAATTTCCTAGGGCATATCAAATTTCTTTTGATATTTATTTAATTGTCTTTTTCATTGTTTTCTAAGGACTGGATGACCGATGGACGAGTACATGTATTCCGTACCAAACCGATGCTGTTGGGAGAGGTCAGTAGCTCTATTTTGCTTTGGTTGCCATTAATTTTCAGGGTCGCTACCTGACAAATTTGCACAGGTGTGATTTGGGGAAAAGGGGGGGGGGGGGGGGGGGGGGGGGGGGGGTGAATATGTACTGTATGGTATTTACTTTAAAACAGGAAGGATAGCCTGCAGAAGTAGGATGTGTCAGCTTAAATTTGCAAATATCGCACCATGCTGTAAATGGGAACAACACAATTACATCTTTGAATGAACCCAGAAGAAGTAGTATTTACTATTTAAAAAAATGTGGACTCCAAAATTGAGGTGCATCTTATGCTCAAAATGATATCCAGTTTCTGATTTTCAGATAAACATTTCCAGTTTTGCCAGAAGACTTAAAATGCCATATTTGCTATACCGTGGACAATTTGTCACTGTCTGGTAATATTAGGTTCACCTAGCAGCAAATTCTTACTGGTAAAAGAAAGTTTTTGTTGTCTAAGGTAAACAGTGGGCACTCATGATACCTAGGTCAACCCAGCCTTGAGTGGATACCAGGTGCGGTCCTGGGAAGTAAAGGCGGCCGGCGTGATGCTGACCACATCATCTACCAAGTGCTGATTGGTCTATAAAAATATATGTCTAGCCCTATATTTCCAAAACGCCTAGAGGTGTGGAAAAAGGACCTCTGCTTTTTACTTTAGTAGCATTTTTTTTATGAGGTACATTTACAATAAAGTAAAATGGACTAATGAGATTCCAGTTCAGGATAGCTGCACGCGCGCGCGCGCACACAAACACACACAAAGCCACTCTCGAAGAGAGTGTCTTGCAGTGCCATACCATACAAGGCATACACCAAAAGAAGCAATGAAAGTAAATCATGAGATGGAACAAGAACCAGATGGAAAGATAACATCAGAGAAACTCTACAGCAGTACGATGTATCTGTGACTGAAGTTGCCAGTTGATCAAGAAACAGAAACCTATATTACCCTCGGCACCTGAAGCAGAAAAACAAAATAGAGGAAGTTAAGAAGAAAACAAATGATTAACGTCCATTGTGTTATTTTTCATCAAAATTTCTTAAAAAAAACAACAACAGGTATGTCCTATATTAGTCCTCACAGTTCTAGTTTACTTTAGTGGCTACGAGTTAGATAAGACTCATGGACCCCTTTTATTTTTTAAGATCTGCCATACTTATTAATAGTCCTATTTAAAGAAAAAAAAAAGCCCTACTCTCTAGCGTAGTTGGCTAAACCAGATTGCGCGGAGACCGGGTGACGAACTCCTTGTGGTCTGGGTTTAATCCCGAGGGTGGGCAGGAAAGCCACATTTTCTCCCAGATTTACGGTATTTACAATGGAATCAAGGCCGAAAGGTTGCGATATCCATAATACCGAGCCTAAGGGTTAACAACTCATGGCTTCTGGATACTAAAACAAAGACATAACAATGAAAATCTAATTAGATAAAAGTAAAGGTCCCTTTTCCACGCCTTAAGGGCTATTGGGCATATAGGGCTGGGCCTATATTTTTAAAGAACAATCGGCACTAGGTGGGTGATGTGGTCAGCATCATGCCGGCCGCCTTTACTTCCCAGGACTGCACCTGGTACACACTCAAGGCTGGGTCAACCTAGGCATCAAGGTCATTTTTTAAGAAGGAAAAAAAAGTCCGGCTCCTTCTGGAACCCATTACCTTCCGATCCGCAGGCGCCTGTTTAGCCACCAACACCACGTTAACTTCCCGTAAATCTAATTATAATCTGAAAATTTTTAAAAAGGTTGAGGGTTGTTGTTTTATTATAAAATGATAGCACTGAGCCCCTTAAATTTGTCTTGCGGCCCCTCTAGGGTTTGTGGACCACAAGTTATGAGAGCTTTGGGAGAGAGCTAAAGTTCCGGTAGACCAAGAGGTGAAGAAAAGATGCTGGCATTGGATAGGACACATGTTGAGAAAACCTGAGAACAATATAACTACTGTCTTTGCAGAGGAACATTGGATAGGACACATGTTGAGAAAACCTAAGAACAATATAACCACTCTCTTTGCAGAGGAATCCCCAAGGGGCACAGAAATAAAGGCAGATAAAAAAACGCATGGAAAAGGGAGCTAGGGAGCCAAGTTCAAAAGAAGAGGATGATTTGGGGGTGAATCTGCATGCAGCAGCGAAAAATGGAGCAACAGCATGAGTTGGTTGAGGGCATATGTTCTATTTGGTGATAGAAAGCAGTAGAAAAATATATCAGGGTAGCTTAATATTTTCAGACCAATCAGCACTTGGTGGATGATTTGGTCAAAAATTAACCCAGCCGCCTTTACTTTCCAACACTTCCCATTGATGCAAGTTTTTTCTCATGAAATAAATTCAAAATCATCATTATTGTCTGTACCCATGTTTAGATATTTTATGCAGACATTATTTATGTTATTGTCACTATTTCTTTATTATCCATTTATACAGGATGCACATAAATTTCCAGAGAAAGACCCTACAGATTTTAATGATCGTGGATTCAAGTCAAGGAAAGCTCTTTTGAGCCAAGAATAAACTATTATCAGCCATGTTTTGTCTGTAGTTATGCTGGCAGTTTTTGTTTTTCTAAATAATTGGAAACGTTTCTAACCAAACCCCATTGATAGAGGACTAATTGAAACCTAGTTAATAAAACAGTTTTAATTGTCTGCTATGGCTCTGTGTGTGTGTGAATGCAATTACCAGTCTTGTAGACTATAATAAGAGACAGTGGTGTCATAGCGAGTGCAGAAAAAACAATTCCTGTTACTGACTTTGTGTCTTGTTTATGTTCCATTGTGCTGGAGAAACAAACACCCAGCTGAAAAAGCTTGCGCCCTTAGAAAGGCAATTGTGTGTTATTTCAAAGCCCAACACTATCTGTAGTAGTAGGAGTGGGGGGGGGGGGGGGGGGTTTAGTACAACCTAACATCTGAACAGGCTTTGTGGGACTTGTACCCAGGGGGTACATCTTCTGAATGATGGCAGGCCTAATACAACCTAACATCTGAACAGGCTTTGTGGGACTTGTACCCAGGGGGTACATCATCTGAATGGTGGCAGGCCTAATATAACCTAACAGTTGAACAGGGTTTTGGGACTTGTACCCAGGGGATTCTCATCTGAATGGTGGCACTCTGTGTCACTGGGTGGTTGTTTCTCGTTGTGCGGTCCTGGTAGGGTTGAACATTGCTCATCCAGCAGTTAAGACTCACTGATTAATCTGTTGGCTCTGTCTGTAAGTTTAGAAAGAAATGCAGTTATAGTAGAGAGAACATTCTATCTAGTTAACATATTTGTAGTTCTTTTCATTAGAACCATGTTTCATGGAATGTGCTGTATTTTTTTTTTTTTTTGTGAGTAAAAGAAAATTATTATTACATTTTAGTTATGTGTTAGTTTTTAAAATTTGTGTTGTGTTGTTTTGTGCATGTTGTTCTGCTTCCCCATTTCATTAAGTTTGTTAGTCACAGTTCACTGGATTCATTCCTGAGTTTATTTCTTTATGTGTGGGTATGTGGAATGTCATTTCCATGAGGAAAACTGTGATGATAAAATTGGATGAATTCAAGAGGAGTGAAAATATGGGGGAATTTCTAGGGGACCACTTTTGTATCAACAGATTCAAGATAGAAGATTCTGAGAAGAAATGAACAGACAATCACCAGACAGGCACTGAAAGGGGAAATAAAGGGACTGAGGAAACGTGCATCATGCCAGCCTCCTTTACTTCCCAGAACTGCACCTGGTACCCACTCAAGGATGGGTCGACTTGAGTTTGTTTGTTTTAGTATCCAGAAGCCATGAGTTGTTAACCCTTAGGCTTGGTATTATGGATATCGCAACCTTTCGGCCTTGATTCCATTGTAAATACCGTAAATCTGGGAGAAAATGTGGCTTTCCTGCCTGCCTCCCGGGATTGAACCCGGACCACACAGAGTTCATCACCCGGTCTCTGCGCAATCCGGTTTAGCCAACTTTGCTAGAGAGCCGGGTGGGTTGACTTGAGAGCCAAGGTCATTTAACAAAAACAAAACCTCCAGCTCCGTGAGGACCTGAATCCAGGAGTGTATGATTATATTTACGGAAAAGGTATTTTTTGGGATTTGAACAGATCAAATAGGAAATAGGAAAATAACTCATGAAACAACTTTCATATACACTTTTATCATATGATTTTTTTAATGTGTTTACCCTTGAAATAGGGATTGACAAAATGTGGTTTACAGCTATGCTGGGATATCACCACTTTTTGGCCCAAAACTTTCAATTTGAGCAACAAGTATTGAGAATATTGTGGTTCATCGTCACTGTGGTAGCACCTGTATGACCTGAGTGACAAATAGACTGTTGGTTTATCGGACATACTTTGGCAGTAGTACCTGCAGACGTTGGTCGGACAACTTAAAAGAAACCAGCACGAACATACTCAGAACTTCACATGTGCACACACACATATCTGTTTGTTTTGAGACCTTTACAAGACGACTCAGCACCAACCCAGCATTTTATTTGGTGGTTTGTGATTTTGGTAGTCAATTTTAGGTCCAGTAGTTTGCCATTATGCCATACACAGTCAGCTGTCAATCACCACTATTTTTAAAACCAACGCAAGGTCTGCTGACAAATCCCCCCGCAGCTGAGATCGAACCCGACATCACGAAATTAGGTGTGCTTTGGCAACGTCTAAACCACATAGGATCACACACACACATATATATCTGCACAAATATCAAGTTAAAAGCTTTTTTCTTTACGCCTTCAGGCATATTGGGCATACAGTGCTAAACCTATATTTTATAGACCAATTGTCACTCAGTAGGTGGATGTGACCACCTTTACTTCCCAGAACGTTAACAGGTTCCCATTTAGGGCTAGGTCAACCTTCCCCCCCCCCCCCCCCAAAAAAAAAACCTGGCTCCATTCGGATTTTAACCCACGACCCTCGGATCTGTAGTGAGCGTCTCGACGCTACACCATGGCGGCTCCTACATACATACCAACTCGAATAATAATGGAAATCCATGTTAACGCAGTGTATAGTTGCTCGCCTATCTGTCTGAAGATGTTGGATTCGAATCTGCATAAGGATAGCCTTTTTTAATCAACTTAGGGCTCCCAGGGAGCTGCCGTAGTGTAGACGTTCACATGTGGACCCGAAGGACGTGGGTTCAATGATGTCTATCCTCTGGCCTTTAAAAATCTGAAACTTTTGATTTTATGAGGTGGGAATGACCAACTACTTTTCCACAAAATGTTCACATTTTTCTGATGAGCGTAGCCATGATACTTGAGTTCAGTATTTCCCATTTGGTGGGAACAAATAGAAATATTAAAGTGAATTGTGTATGCTTAACAGGACGTCGCAGAACCAACCTCGGCATTCTTCGGCTGTTAGCTTTAATCAGGCCATTTCAACCTTCTGCAGTTTTCCATCGCTTCTAAATAAAGACTTCTTCTAAACGTCCAGCTCTCGACACCTTTATCGAAATCAACGCAGAGCGGTCTGTTGTTAAATTAGTTGCAGCTGGAATTATTCTGTGTGCTTTGTATTTAAGAAGCTCGTTTACAACTCTCAAGACACAGACACCGACTTTTTCATCACTGCCTGGTCTGGACCTAACACAAATTTGTAACTGTTGTTGCTTTGTTCCACAAATTAAAAATCGCCACCTTTAACCAGCATTTCCGAAGGGGAATCTTTAGGTTATAATCGTGACTAGGTTATGTGCACCACATAAAATGGTTACGCATTACTCGCCACCAAGAGCCCTAAAAAAATACCGAGGCAAGTATTGATGCCACTAAAGGAGACAAATCCAAATACTGTCCCGACCGGCTGCGAAGTTGTCTAACGGCGAGCCCATCGGCGGCCTGATCACCGATGGTGATCACTTTGTAATTGTCGGAGACTTCAGTATAGCCTTAATGTTAAAACAAAAATATTTAAACAAATGAAGGGTGCGGGGTAGTCATACCAGGATTTGTAGATGTAGGATTCTCATGCTTGAGGTGTTATTTATCCTGCGTGCGGACTGCAATTCCTGAGGGACAGACAACAGCAGCAGTCTTTTCTTTACTTGTATTAGAGTCATATTGTTATTTTATTTTGTCAAGTCTAGACACGTATCTACTTGATTTACTGATAGGAGGCTAGTTAGACATCATGTTAACCTTACCCACAAAGGACATCGTCGAATTACTTTGTTAAAACTCTATAGAGTACTTTAATTATACATATTCTGCATGGTAGAACGGAGTGTCTGGGGTTTGTTTCCGTTGAATAATGGCTGTTTGAGTCACTGGGTGTTAAACCTTCAGACTGCAATCCCGGAGGGGGAATACGGAAAATATGGAGTGCTTGCTCATAATTAGACGGACATACCGTGTTAATCTAAATAAATACAATCATAAACAATAGATATAAATCAAACAAGAACTTATAACAATGTCTAAGCTACTGAGCTGAGTGCTTGGTGCAGCACTGTGAGCTGTTTAAATTTTTTGTGTTAAAATGAATAAGTGGTATTCAATATGGCCGGTATATGTGGGGGCTGGTGAAATATCTTATATAACAATTTTACGTGCGTATAGTCAACTTACTGTGACGGACTACTTCCATCAACGACAAACTACATTTCTTATAGTGACTGTTGGCTTTGGCGTCTCTAGCAACTGCCATGTGCATTTACTGTGTACGCATATTTCGGAACTGTGCCCTGAATAATTGTTAAGTCACAATTTTTTTAAAGTGGAACATTGAGGGACATTTTGCTTGGTTTTCGCTGGCACATGAATGCAGCAAGTTATGGGGTAACCCGACCGCAGTGAAGGTGAAACCTCGACTACGACTTTGACTAGTCTAACCAATGTATTATTTATTCTTCTCACAGATTTAACACACATGAAAGGCACATCTCATACAAGTCGTCACTGTTATACCGTATTAGAGAGAGAGCTCTTGTGTCGTCAAATCAATAAAATTGTAAACAATAGGTATAAAGTAAAGAGCTTAAAACGATGAATTGTCTAGCCAAATAATTTATTCACGGTTTTCACAAATAAAAAAAAAGTAAACAATGGGAAAACTGCATTTAACGCAAGACAAAAAAAAAAAAAAAACATGCATATACAATGGAAGGATAATTAAAAAGATAGTCGACAGAAGATCCTCAATGCACACTGAGCCATTGAATCAATAAGTGTTGAGATTTCCTTCATTGTGAATCCCTCAGCGTGTAGCCTGGGCTGAAACAACGTCAGTTAAGTGTTTATGTAATCTCTTTCTTTAGCTTCTTGCAGAGGAGCACACCAACATTGGGAGCCTCGGATACCTTAAGCCCACACAACTCCTAGAATAAATTTAGCAGGGAGGTGGGGCGGGGGCGTCCTCTCCTAGAACATTCGTAAAGGGTCTAACCAGCTCTTCTTTTTCTTTTTTCAAGTCCATGCCATGTGGTGTTTGTCGTCATGTCTATCCACAACCTTCTGTCTCGTGTATTTTCAATCAACTCTGATACTTAATGCCATGTGGT